ATTCAGTAATAGATAGATAATTTATGGCAGTTATTAGAGATATTTTGTCTGCAATGAATAAAATTCCAGTAAGACAATTTAAGAATTCGTTTTCCTCAGTGCAATTTCGCAAAATTTCAAGTCTTCAGTACAAAGTACAAATTATTTAAAAAGTGCATATCATCAGATTCCAATAGGTACATAATGATGACAAACCTTTTAGAGCATTCGAAGCAGGTGGATACGACTTCATCAGTTTCGACGCATCCCTTTTGGAGTAACGAATGGGAATGGGGCATCTGGCTTTCGAAGGGTTATTGACAATATAATTGAGAAAGAGCGCTTGAATGGATCAAGAAAATCATGACTTAAATCTTCAGAACATCATGCAAGCGATTGAGAAATACAACGTGACACTAAATAAAGAAAAGTGCACTTTTTCATCGAGATCAATAAATATGCTAGGTTATAAAATTAAAAAAAAAAAAAAAAAAACAATCTTTAGCCCAATCCGGACAGACTCGAGCCACTATTCAGTCTACCTGTACCACAAGATGCGGCCTTTTTACGTCGAGTACTTGGCATGTTTTCTCATTATTCCAAATAGATACCAAAACTTCCTGACAAAACACAGAGCCTGATAAACTTCAAAATTTTTCCAATACCCCAGAATGCGACAAAAGATTTTGAAAATATTAAAGTTGATACATATAGCTAATTCTCTCATCTGATCTATAAATGAGACCGAGATCCTGGTAGTTGAAACTGATGCGTCTAATTTCGCCATCGCTGCTACACTTAGCCAAACAGGAAGACCAGCAGCGTTTTTTTCAAAAACTTTATCTGATAGTGAACGAAGACACTTATGAATGATGGAATAAAAAAAGAAGCTTGTGCTATTGTTGAAGTTTTGCGGAAATGGAGACACCTTTTAGGACGCAACTTTGAACTTATAACCGATCAAGAAGTTGTTTCATTGGCTGGCTCAAGTTGACCCCCCACATTCGGATCTATACTGTTTCTCAATTGTAGTCAATTGTGCTCGTTTTGTGCTCAATTGTGCCGGTGTTTATGCGAATTGTGCTCATTCCCATACAGCAAAAAAAAATTGAATAAAACTGGGGGCCAGCTTGACTTCAGCCCCCGGTTTTTTTGACTTTTTGTCAATATTTTTGGCTCATTGAATTGTGCTCGTTTTGTGCTCAATTGTGCAATTCGATTAACTGCAAATATAATTGCAGGACATCTTCTTGTGACTTTAATAGGAAATTATGGATCTTCACTGTGTTAATGTGAATTGTGCTCATTTCCATATACCAAAAAATAAATAAAAATGAAATAAAACAAATCCGTGAGGGGGGCTGGAGTCAAGCAATTCAATTTTTTCTTGTACATGGAAAAGAGTACAGTTCGCATAAACACTGTTCATGCGTTGTTCCAATTTTTTCTGGTGTAAGTATGGGAATGAGCATAATTCGCATAAACACTGGCACAATTGAGCACAAAACGAGCACATTTGACTACAATTGAGGAACAGTATAAAACCGAATGTGGGGGGCCAACTTGAGCGAGCCTGTTCCATTTATGTTCCATTCCAGGCATTCGAGTGAAATTAAAAATGAGTAACCCATAAGTTGGCGATTAGAATTGTCTTGCTACTATTATGATATTATTTACCGTTCCGGGCACGATAATATAGCTGATACATTTTCGAGAATTTGCGGAGCAAGTAACACAAACAGACTTTTTCAACTTCAACAAGATTTGTGTCATCCAGGAGTCTCAAAAATGCACCATTTTGTGCGTACTAGAAACCTTCCGTATTCAATGTACGATATTCGACACATTACTTCTACTTACCCTATTTGTGCTGAGCTAAAACCTGAATTTCATAAAAATCCGAGTAGTCATCTCATAAAAGCAACAAGTCCGTTTGAACGACTTAATATTGATTTTAAAGGCACCATAACTATTTAGTTCTTCGAACAATAAATATATTTCAACTATCATTGATGAATTTTCGCGATTTTCGTTCGCATTATCTTGTCCTGATCTGATATACTTCTACCTCCTCAGTTATCAATTAATGCTTATGTCAACTATTTTTGAGTATTTGTTATGTCATTTTACATCCATTTCGACCGTGGGTCTTCTTTTATGTCACGTGAATTGACTGATTTCCTGCAATCCAAAGGTATAGCTACTAGTAGAACAAAACACCATATAATCCTGAAGTAAATGTTCAGATGGAGAGATATAATGGTATTATTTGAAAAACAATGAACCTTGCACTAAGAACTAGACATCTACCAATCTCCCAATGGGAAATCGTTCTCCCTGATGCTCTTCACTCAGTCCAATCCTTACTGTGCACTGGTATTAACTGTACCCCACACGGAAAAATGTTCATTCATCAGCGTCGTTCCACTAATGCTGCTTCTGTGCCATCCTGATTGACGTCTTCCCAAACTGTTCCGTTAAATGTTCGTCGTAGCAAATAGGTGGAAGAGGTAGAACTTATTTAAGCTAATGCAGATTATGCATAAATTCATGGTGATAGAAGACAAGTTACAGTATTTTTAAATCATTTAGCCCCTAAAGGAGACGTCAGTCTTCTACAACCGACAAACCGAACACAAGAGAATTAGATACATGTGAATATCCAGAAGCTCCTAAAAACAGGGAAACATCTGAGTACCAACCAGAAAATGATAAAAATGCATTACACAATAAACCGGAGCCTGATAATGAATTATTAGATAACCAAGCCAATCTTCAGAGCAGATCGTCAATTCAGTCCAGTCCCAGTCCACAAGGTAAAGAATTATGTCGATCAAGTAGGGTTTGCCAGCCTCCGCTATATCTTCAAGATTATGAATATAAAAAGAAGGGAAAAATATCATGATATTTTACCTTTACCTTATCAATCTAATTATTAGTCACCCGTTTTTGTCAAGCTTCACTTTTGTGAATTAAAGCCATATGCAAACAAAGGTCTCACTGCACATGGTAAGGGGCTTATCAAAAAGCCCAGCTATGTCTGTGGATGACGAACGTTCCTCGGCCGGAAGTGAGGACTCCGTTTCCAAAAAGCTTCCAAAGTCAGTCAACGACAGTGACCGAATACAAAAGAGCCCTAACAATACAACAAAGAACTAAGAAGATCTAGAAGAGAATCAGTGGCGCAATTAGGGGCGGCCTGGGGGGGGCTTAGCCCCCCCAAGCTCAAGATTAGCCCCCCAAAACCTGATGGTCACAAACATGATGATAATGACAAAAATTAGCCATACGCCCTCCCAAACCCGAGCGAGCAGATCTGAGTCGCTTTCCAGTGACGCACTTTAAGCACTCCTGAGCTGCTCTAGAGCGCCCTGGACTGTTTATAGGCGTTTCAGTGCATTAGAGTTTCGCGCAACTGAACTGTTCGTTTTTCCTCTCCCCTGCCCTCTCAAGCACCTGCTATTTTATAAGGGCAACAAAAACACGAAGCTTAAAGTAGGGTGCGTTCCAGTGACACAACAGTTTTTTAACACTTTCGTCTGCTGGTCCGTGTCTGTTTGTGCACTTAGGAGGAATTTAATTTAACATAAATTGTTCCAGTTTTTAAGTTGTTTTTAGTACCGATTTAAGTAGTTTAAGAAGTTTTAAACTCAATATATTTTTACTTACATAGCCTGGAATTACA